TGGAATTTTGATATTTTTTCCATAACGGTAAATCGATCTCTTTTTAAGATCAATAACTTTATAGTCAAGTATGTATTTTTGCTTCCTTAAAATAGCTAATTGTGTGTATATACTATTAATTTTTCCATTTAGATAATTTTTTGTCATATTTTCGTATATATTGAAAGAATGCTAAGGTTTTAACGTTATTACATTAATGACTATTAATTTCCAGTATATAGTGTATATGACTTTTTGTTGTATCATAATTGTATAATTTCACTGCTCAATTAGTATGATTTAAATCTTAACTTTCACGGTGCAACTGCAAATTAGAAATAATATTCAACCTAGAACAAAGAAGAATGTTGAACTTTTTTATTATAATCAACAATTTGATGATTTTCTTTTTATATTTTCATGTTAATTTAATGAAAATTATATTTAACTGGTTTATCATTATTTTTCTATATTTTTCCTTAATTGTGCTAAACTATTTGAGTATATGTAAATTTAAAGGCAAAAATGTCAACCTCTTGAATTTTTCCTAGCATTTATTATGCACTTTTTTGTATTTTTATCAACATTTCATGTGAACTAGCCGGTGCTATGATATCTACCAATTGTAATTAAGATTTGCCTAAATTGTTTAGAATTAGTTTGACATTGTACCGTACCATTTTATACCGTTGCGAAACGACATAATACTGCATGGTTCTATCCTCAGAATCCGACTGTTCCGAACAATTAGAAACTTCACAGATACATTTCCGTTTTTGCTAATTATAATTTACCGGATCGTTCTGGATAGCGCCTACTCATATATTAAATGAGACCAGGGGCAGATCCATGATTTTAGTCTAGGGGGACCAAACTTTTCAAAAAAAATATAGCTATAATTTCATTAAAAGGTAAAATACAAAAAAAAAATGTTACAGGTGTTTTATAAGAATAAGACTCTGTATGCAAGTTAAGTACAAAAAACACTCATTAAAAGAAGAAGTTATGTTATAATAAGTCACATCACAAGTCACAAGTATATTTGAAACCAAAAGATTACTATTAACAAAAAACAATAGAACTAATGTGAAAAATGAGATTAATACTCACAACAGCTCTTTGGACTGCCATCCAACTCAAAATGGAAAAGAAAATAGTATAAATAACTCAAGATGAAATTTGAAGATGAGGAGAGTTAGTGCACCAAAAATGTCTCATATCCATGAATGAGTACGACGTCCTCTCACTGATTTGAGCATGTCTTTTCGTAGACACATTCAAATGAAATTAGTCGGGTATCATGAGAGAGATAGCTTAAATATCTACATATTATGTCAAGACATCATGATTAGAATATGAGAGGATCAAGGTGAAATCTGACAAAAAAAACAGACACTCGTTGTTCATATTTCAGGATGAACACTTTTACTCAATTTAGCCATTGAGTGATAGAGAAATTTGAAATGTATAAAAGGATACTTGATAGATAATCTATATCGGGATACAACTAGTGGTATCTAGAGAGAAGTCAGAGCAATAAGTAAGAGGAAGAAAGTGTGGTAGCAATAAATAATCAATGGTCTGTTACAACTTCCAAAGGGGCGCTATTTATACTAGTCATAAATCTAGGTGCATTAAATGCACATACACGTGTAAGCTAGTCTATGGCGGAGAGCCCGCGGTGGCGCGAGCGCTGTCACGTGGCATAGCATTTAATGCAGTGGTTGGGGCGTTGGACAGAAAAGCTTATGTCGAGATCGGGGGGTCTTCGGTACCGGGGCCGAGGGCTGTATGACCGAAGGCTGGTGTGATGAGGTGAAATTTCCAGGTGTGTTGTTGGGCTAAAACGGGGTGACGTCCCTGAGTTTGAGGCCTTCGGCCCTGGTGCCGAAGGCGGTCCCTCGTGGGACGTGGGCTGCATCGTACTTGGATTGTTGTATCTGGGCCGCCTATGTCCGTTGGGCCTATTTGAAGTAGCAGGAATATGTGAGTGGGGGATTCCCAGGCTATATACTCCATCAATGCTCTTACCAAATTCATTTTCGGGAATGTGACTCATTTTAATACGTACTACGTATATAATACTACCTTTTAAAATGGGGGAGGGGCAAGGCCATACTGTTGGAAAATGTGTTAATAAATTGAATTAAATAGTCAGTTTGGTGATTTTTTTAGTGGGGTCCACTTCTAATTTGGGTCGGGTCAAAGTGGTTTCGGATTGTCCTTGCTAATGGCTACAATTCGATATGTGGTACACTCAAAACGGATAACGGATGAATGAGAAATTGATTCTTGAAATTTACTCGTTGAAATGGAGAAAACTTGGAAAATGATGGATTTCTAGTGTGTTTTATCCCACACCGGAAAACCCAAGGGATTTTCACCCCCTTATAAAGGGAACCTCATTTGAAAGAGTTAAGATTCTTAGGTGGAAAGGCTCTCTCCGTGCGTAGGTGGTGCCGATCAAATCCTAAAAACGAAGAAGATTAATTTTTTGTTTCTTCCCGTTTTTCCTATGCAGGTTGCTGCTCTCACGCCTGCAGCAGGCTGCCGTTACAACACCATAAATGTCAATGCTCATGCAATTAAATGAACATTTATGGATAATTAGCACTAAAACTAGCTCTAGCATTTCATAAATATTCTTTCGTGTTTTGCCTTTGTTCACGTTCGCCGAAACAATTCATTTGAGTGCTCAAACAGTTGTTCACTTGTTCGTAGTCATCGTATCCTGGGAAACGATCATTGCAACACTCCTAGTATCATGGGAGGCAACGAATACGTTTTAAGGACATCGTGCGTTGCACGGTCTTTGGCTAAATTCTGCTTTATCTACTTTATGTTTTATTTAGTCATTTTAATTAATTAATTTTTATTAATTATTTTCTTTGTTTTTTGAAACACACCCAACACATACTTGTCCCAATGGTAGAACTGCCCTTGAATGAGACCAGAACTAAATAAACTAGAACAAATCAAATCAAATTTCGATAGTTATAAAATACATATAGACCAAATATTTATCAGAGACCAGACTAGTACATATCAAATTCGATCAGAAGATTTTAAATAGAATAACAGATCAGACCAGGCTTGATAAGACTAAAAAATTACTATCCAATTAAAAACATTCTTCCTCTCTTTCATACTCCGTATCTTTTAGCGTGAAGAAAGAAGTAAAACATACTTTACACGGAGTATCAAAGAAGCTAAAGGGAAGTTACAAATTTTTAGAAAAAAATTATTGGTGTACAAGCTTTTTTGTACTCAACAATACAGTAGTACACAAGGTATGTGAACATGTTATTTTGTTTGTCTGTGAATTACATTTTCACAAAAAAAAAACATGTCCACATATTGAAAAATGTATAGAAATTAGTTCAAATAGGACTAAAACTATGGCAAAAACCTAAAATAGGACTTGCTATGTTTTTATTCCAAAATAGGACCATATGAGTCCTATTGAAAACATACCTATTTTTGCATTCCATTCTTACCCTTCCATTAAATATGAATTAAAAATAGTCAAAAGCCATAATTAAATGTTTAATTCATAATAAATTCGGAAAAAATTCAAAAATTCGTAGAAATATAATTAAAAAATTTATAAAATTTTTATAAAATAAAAAATTCAAAAACCTTTTTTTTAAAAAATAATTTTATTTTTAAAAAAATTCATAAAAAATAGTAAAACTCCGTAAAAAAAATTTAAAAAAATATGGATGCCTTTCCCACTGCCTGTACTACCTCCCAGCACCACCACCTCCGGCCGATGAAAAAAATGCCATTTTCCCAGAAAAATGCCATTTTTTTCTGAAAATGCCAAAAAAGTGGCATATTTCTCTTTTCGAATGCCAACATTTTCATTTTTTCTGCCATAAATATGGCATTCGTAATGAACTTGGCATTTTTTTCCCTGGTGACTGGAGGTGGTGGTGCTGAGGCGGCAGAGGCGGCGACGATTTTTTTTTGAGTTTTTTTTTTTTAATTTTTTTTTTAATTTTTTAAATTTTTTTAATTTTTTGAAAAAAAAATTAATTAAATTTTTAATATCGAAATGTTTTTCTTAATTTTTAGTATTTTTTACGAATTTTTATTATTTTTTATTATTTTATTAGGAATTAAAACATTTTAATAGCTATAAGGGTATAATTGTCCAAGGTACACATAATTAGTCCTATGCAAACATAGTTTATTTTTTGGTCCTATTTGTGAAAAGTGAATAACTTTTAGTCCTATTTTGATAATTAACTCAAAAATGTAAACACAGTTAGTGTCAAATGTAGTTTGCTTTACTCCTTTCAGTAATTATGTTCTCACTTTTTTATATACGAAATATAAATCGCGTGCACACAAAATGTAACTTAAGACAAGTGAAAATGTAAATCACATGTATACAAGATGTAACTTGTTAAGATAAGTCGAAATGTAATCACGTTAATTGAAATGTAACTTGAGACAAATTAAAATGTAGATGATGTTACCTAAATGTAGTTCACGCATACAAACATTTAACTCACACATATAAATGTAACTCAATTTATTATCAAATGTAATTACGGGAGTCGTGTATATGTGTAACTCGCATACATGGAAATGAAATCGCACATATGAAATTGCAATTTCATGTATTATCGAATGTAAATAAACAAAAACTCAATGTCTTAAAAATTCACTAAAAATTTATAAAAGAGATAAAAATATACTACTAAAAAAAGTGTGTGATTATGAAAAAAATATTACAGAAAAAAGTTTATGAATATAAAAAATATCAGTGTATGAATATGAAATACAATATACTTATTTTATGTGAGTTTATAACTTTTTTGTAATGAGTTGACAAAGAAGAAAAAAATAAATTCAATTGTAATTATATCTTTAGTATTTTGATGGAGAAAAAGAAAAAAAGTTAAAAAAAAAAATAAAACAAAAAATGAAGAAATCACAAAATTGAGAGCACTAAATGTATACCATATGAAATCAGAGAGAGATTATTGGGCCTTAGGCTAGTGATGGCCAGGCGCGAATACAAAATTTATTTCGGCAAGAGGCCTGGCCGGCAAGAGGCCTTTCGGGAGTCCAAGTCGAAGTCGGGAGTGGCAGACCTTCGGCCCTTCCAAATTCCGGTCGCCCATCGCCTATCGTCTGCTGTGGCAGAACATGAGGTGTTCGCTGGCCTAATACTTCGACTCTGCAACCATCAATTCTCTAGTCTTCCTATTTCAGGTAAGTTTTTTATTTTTAGTTTTATTTTCGTTAAACTTTTCATTTCAGCTTTATCTCAAGAGTTTGAGGTTTTTGTTGAGGTGAATCTTGAAACCTTCAATCTGGCTTTTGAATTCCGATTTCCAATGCTGCCTAACCTACTACCTGGTTCTTATTCCGATTGCTCCCTATAAGTCTATAACCTGTAACCTGGATTTAAAATGCTGAAAAAACCAGCAAACTTTTACTTACCACTATTGTAGTTTTTTTTACTGTCTTTTCTTTACATTTTTTATTAATGTGACAAGATTATTAAGTGAAATGATCATTTTTTCATATTTAGTAGTAATGTTATTTCTGATTTGTGATAATTACATTTTGGCCCCCATTGGATTGTGATGCTAGATCCGCTCATGGTCACATACTATTTCAACATCCATCAAAAGATAAGTGTTGATGGGGTGATAGATTTCTCCAAATGTTTATGCAAATATTAATACTTCGTTAGAAGGTTCCCACTTTCCTTTTATGGATGTCCCATATAAAGGTTCCCATTTACATTTTATGAAACAATTAACAATCTTAAGTGACAAATTAATCATTAAATATTAAAAATAATACATTTATAACATCATAGTTATCAATACTAACTACATTATAATATATACCCATTCAAATTATTTCTCAAAATATACTCGAAGTACTTTATTTAATTATTATTGTCTAAATAACCGTGCCGTTTTGCTCTGGGAACCTTCCAACGGGATGAAGGTAGTACTATTTTTACATTTTTTTTTTATTTCACTGGGCGTTAGTATATTATTAGTTCTTTGTATTATCCCTGTGTTATCTGTTCGTTTTTTTGGTTATATTATTACTTTTTTTATTGAGCTGCACTCGTTTAGAACCTTTTTCTCTTTGAATTTGATGCATTATTAGATCCTGTATAAGCAACCTACTTCGTATATGCTTTTATTATTTTTTCTGCACATAATAAGTCTTATAAATTTTTCCATCATTTGCAATGGAGCCAAAGACACTATTTTTTGGCTTTGGAATATTATAGAATAAAGCAAAATGGCTCAATAAACTGTTTGCGCTTCTTTTTTATGAAGTAGCAGTCAGTCCATGCAATTTTCGACGCAATTTTCACTATGGGTCATCCTGAAACCGTCTATTTGTACTTTAGTACAGGGGTAAGACTGCGTACATCTTACCCCCTTACCCCGTTGTAGGTGGGAGCCTTTGCGTTTGCGGCACTGGAGTAATGATGATGATGATGATGATGATGGATAAGTCTATTAAATGTGCATCCATGATTTTGTTTGGTCACCTAGTCTTACTCTATCATTTATCATTTTTAGATATCTAGTAACCTGTAGGGTCTGTAATGTTGCTAATTGTTAATAGTGATTAATTTGTTTAGTAGTGATTCAGATGACCAACGTGGGATGGCACCATAGATATGTAGTCTTACTTTGGGATATCATTTTCAAATAAGTGCCTTTTCAAATTATTTCATTGATAGTCACAACATTGTTGAACTCATACACATATGTACATGTAATCAAAATGTCATCTTAAGTTTTGTACTATAATTCTAGCAGGCGTACTCTGCACGGGTAACTAAATAAACATATGTTGTATTAAAAATATTAAAATTATAAACATGTTATTTTAAGAAATTAATTATCATACAACGATAATCCAGACATCCAGTATTAAATGCGGGTTATAAAAACTAGATTGTACCTCAACATCATGGAAAATACATTCTAAGGAATTAGTCACATTATTATAATTGTATGAAGGCAAACCATAAGAACAGATTGGTCGTACTCTAAGCGCCCAATTTCTGCTTGGTGTGTTAAGCTCTTGGACTTTGTTGACAAGTTATACTTACATTTACATATTATTAATATGGATAGACTTTGTTGACAAATTTGTGTTGAAGGACCTTCACACTTTCTCATTGTACATTTGTACTGTGATTTTTTATATGATGAAGCAGAACTTAAATGCCTTAGTAGCAAGTGGTTAACTCAGACATGGTAGGGTGATCGTGTGAAGTTGGTTACCAATAACGTGTACAAAACGCTGCATGGTGAATTCCATTCGCCACCTGGAATACTTTTAAACATACTGCGTGTGTTCTAAACTCCTATGAGCATGTAAGTGCACATGGGTAAAACAGTTTGTGACAATCTTTTCTTATTCTACTATCATGCAACTTTTTGTGCATGTTCGCATGTTGTAATTAGGATGTTTTTAATTGGACTGGTTTCAATTCTAGAGACCAGACTTGAGTAGACCCAAGGTAGTCAAAGTTGTGAGGCACACTCAAGGCGCTAGAGTAATCCTATTGCCTGAGGGATAAGGCACAAAAGAGTGCTCGCCTGACTCATCTTAGGCGCATTACATAGAAAATGTTACATATACTATTCTAGAATCATCAAACATGATGTACATAACATCATATCAAACCAACTGCATTAAAAAGTCATGTTTCTGGACTCAGTTTTGCTTGGTGTACACAAAATGTGTACACTTTTTTTTGTACACTTGTCTGCGGGGGACAGACAAGTGTACAAAAAAAGTGTACACATTTTGTGTACACCACGCATTTTTCTTCTGGACCCATAGTTGAAATCCCACTTTCCATGTCTTGTAAAAGCACACTGCAGATATTATATATACCTTATGAAAGTATTCAATGATTAGATTATACATATATTAATGGAAATATTAAGTAATAAGAAGAACAAAGAAAAAATAGAATTACATTGTACATGAATGAAAATATTAAATAATAAGAACAAAGTTACACACATATATATGTTTGAGTTGTATAGAGTATATATAAGAAGTAGATGCAGAAAAAACATAGAATAAAAAAATTGGAACAATGAAGAAGAGAGTTATACATGATAGAATGGTTAATGGGTAGTATACATGTTTCAGTTGCATAGAGTATATAAGAAGAAGTAAATGTTGAACAAAGAAACAAAGAAAGAAAATGGAACGATGAAGAAGATGAAAACTTATTGTGGTTGATCATTGAGTGCTGCTAGCTTCTGTGGTTGATCGTTGAATTGTGCTTTCAAAGCTGGGAGGTAGCATGAGTAGATCAGGGCATAGGAGAGTAGTAGCGACACTTAGTGTAACGCTTAAGGAGGCTTAATGTAGTTTTTACCTTTAAAACGTGGGCTTTATCTTAATAAAAGTATGGGCTTATTATTTAAAACAGTGTCAAACATATATTTTAGTCTGAAACATGTTTCCTCCCTTGTGCGATTAAATCGAGTGCTTTTTAGCGCCTAAGGCAGGTTGTTGCGTGTGGCATTCTTTCAATTGCTTAGGTTGTTCTGCGCCTCACTTGGTGTGCTTAAGCGCCAAGGTGCTTGCCGTTGACTACACTGAGTAGACCAGTCTTAAACAGATCAAACAAGACTTTGACAGTTGTGAAATACACATAGACCAAACATCTACCAAATCAGACCATACCGCTTTAAACCAGACCAGAAAATTTCAGTCCAATTTTATACATTTAAGTATTTTAGGTGGGAACCATTATTGTGCATATGGTTTTTGTAAAACCTCAAGTCCGAAGCTTATCAAAAAACCTTTTGTAAAACCACTAAATGACAACATCATTTCATTCTTCACCAGCTGTAAGTTCTCTTCGAATTTATGGACTCCAAGATGGCGCAAAGACGTTGGAACATCGTCTATGGTTGTGCGTTCAAGCTGGTGGCTCGTGAAAAGTTACCAACAAATACCGGGTGTTTCTGCTTGGATCAGAAGCTTCAGTTTCACCTTATCTGCTTTGTCTGATCCCAACAATGTTAATAGCACTTCTTCCTCTAATCGGTATTCTTTTATTTCCGCTCATATCGCTTCCTTGTACATGGTACATGGGTGGTGGAAATTGTTTCCCCCTTTTTAGCAATTAAACTGTAATATGGTAGCTTTGTTAAAAATGATTCATTTGCAAATTGTTCGATTAGAAACTGCGAATAGTAAATAAACCAAATATCAACTCACTCAACTGATACAGTGCCTTTCACACTCATTTTGATTTCTAAATTTGATATAAAGATGTCAACTTTTATGTGATAACTTGACTTGATTTTGTTTCAGCCCACTTGAATATGAGCGCTTGCTTCCATGCCCCTCACAAAATTCACCTCCCAGAGTGGAGCACTTAGTTGTAATGAAGGAATGCCCTGTTTTGGAGTACATTAGTGAAACATTGGATCTGCCTCGATTGTATGTGCTTCTTTTTTTACCACACACTATAATTTAACATTACCAATTGTTATACATTTGTTTTAATGTAGAATATGTAAGACTGGTCTTTTACACAATAATTTCATCTTAATCTTAAAGATATGTGACAGATCTCATTCATTTTGGAGCTGTATATTATGCTTTAGTATGCCCAAAGCCACCTCCCACTGCAACATCTGAGCAAACTAAATTATATGAAGAAGTTACTGCTCCATCAGTGTTAAAAAAGAGAGAATCGATTAAAGGTAAAACGTTCAGGGAAGCACAGAAAACATTCCGTATAAGTTCTGCTAACCACATCCTCGAAGCTGGAACTTACCTACGGGTGCATGTTCACCCAAAACGCTTTCCTAGGTAATTATCTAACAGTACATGTACACATGATACTTTTTGTTATCATATACTTCATGCTACATATTTATATCAGGAAGACTAGTAGTGTTATTAGATATGTTTCAATAACAGGTGCTACGAGATTGATTGGAAGTCTAGAATTATTGCAGTGACTGAATCCTATGTTGTTTTGGACAAACCTGCTGGCACATCTGTATGTATAATGCTCCATATTTGCAAGTAGAGAACTCAACAATAAGTGTATAATTGAAATTTGTAATATGGCTACTGATATGTTCGAAAATGAGTAAGCTATGCTTCTTTAATTGAAATAATAAAAAAGAACCCCTTATCCCACCTGAATTATCAGCTTATTGTTCCTCATTTCTTTGTCTTTATACCAAGGTGTGAAAAGGTTAGCTCAGTTATCAATGTGGTCTGTTTCAGAAAGGTGGGGCATAAGCCTCAAAGTATATGAACTGTTTTTTGTTAATATTTAAACTACCGAGTTCCAACTAAAGATAATCATAACTATGAGTCTAGAAAGTGTTAAACACAATCATATGAAATGATCACAACATCATAGACCATAGTCTAAAATGAAAGTTCAAAAACACAAACAAACAGATGGAACATTTGAAACCCAAGGTTCTTAACATAAAAAGACTCTAGTGATACAATTTGAGAATATCGAATCTTAATCTATATCATAAATCTGAGGGAGGTTTACTTTTTGGGTCTTATTATTAATTTCAGTCTCACACTAAAAGAAAATGTCACACCTAATAAAATGCCCAGGACACGCCCCCAGGCAAACAGCTTGACTGTGGGCCTTTAGGGTGTAAGCCTCAACAGTCAACACCTATTGTGAATGCCTCACTGTGAGGCACACCTCAAAACCTGCTCTTAAGAGGCATTTCAACTGTGCTGTTCACTAGAGTGATTATGAAAACCCTTTACTTTTGTCATATGGGTACCGACACATATTTGAACTCTTTTTGTGTTTCTCATCATCAATCAGTATTCATTATTTGTAGAAACTTTTATTTTGTTTTCAGTTTTTATTACTCAGTGCTCTACCAACTTTGTTAGGTTGGAGGAACAACAGATAACATTGAAGAAAGTTGTGCCACATTTGCTACTCGTGCATTGGGATTGCCTACTACATTGCTTACTACTCATCAGATTGATAATTGTACGGAAGGATGGTATAGTTTTGCATTTAGTTTTACTCCATGTGTTTCATATTACTATTCTCTCCTCATTTTGGAACAAATTTCAAGGGGAGTGGTAGTGGGTAGGGCATAGAGAAGAGAGACCAGAAAGACATGTAAAGGAAATCTTTGCGAGTAGTGTCGGCGGGTGGAAAAGCAAAGATAATATTGTACTGGGCAACCATTTCTAAATAGTAAATGGAAACACTAATTTGGAACAACACTAATAAAGAAAGCGGGAACATTGATATGAAACAGATGGAGTATCTTTTTATTGCTCCTAGATGTCAAGCAGGGAAGACTGTGATAGGATTCTAGGCTGAAGAAATTAATAATGAAGAATATTATAATAATATTAAATAATTACGATAGTATATTAGAGGTCCTGGGATTTAATGCCCAACTGAGTATCTATTGTTGGTTTGCTTCTCCACCCATGTTCATTTGGAAGTAGAGTCTTATATGCTTATGAAAATGGATTACTTAAACTCGGGGACATTAGAGAAGATAACGCGGATCTTGTCAAAGGTCAACAAAATCGACAACCAAAGGAAATGTTTTCAGAAATTTTTTGTGAGTTCATGCTTACAATTTTGGGCAGCAAGAGAATCACAGACCATGGTAAAAGGAGGAGTGGTCCAGAGGCTCAGGAGGACCATGGTAATCTTTTTTTCGAGGAATCTGCCATCATCCTTGGAAACAGCACACCGATTCGTGATGGTGATAGGTCCAGCCATTCTCAGTCCCATGGCAGCAATTCACTGCAATTTTCAATTTCAATTGTTAAAAAGTTATCAAGCTCTCTACCTGCTGAAGTGTCCAAGGTGGTGCAGGGAAAGTGGGTAAAGTCTTCCGGCTATGATACAATATTGGATTCTTTAATTGGGGAGACATATATACAATTTGCAGAAGTACAAGAAGCAGAACTGCAACAATTTGTTGAGATCATAATAAGCTGCCACACACATGGCCTACATTATCCATTTAAAGCATCAGAAAGATATCTAATGCTTGGAGATATCTCTGCAAAGGCAACTCATTGGCTACCACTTCCTGAGGTTTCTAACTTCTTCACAAGGTTAATACAGAGGGTGGCTCCTAAGAGTTACCAGCAAGCTCTCAGCAAAGTTGTCACTAAAAAAAATTAGAAAATCTTTCTGGTGATCAGGTCCATTTTCTGACGAGGTCTTTTGGAGTGCCAGGAAATTATCTTGGACAGACCAGCCATGGTTTTCACTGGCCCGATGGTCCTTTGGCAACTGTTATTTTCTTTAATTTTCCGTTGGAGATTCCTACACTTCAGCAGAGTGGTGCATTATACTTGGAAAATAAGCCTGATCTTAAAGTTGATAGCATGGTGTGCATTGTACTAAGACAAATGCTACTTTTGCTTCAAGATTGTGAGATACCATTGGAGGATGTGGAATTCTTAAACTCAAATAGAGAAACACAACACAATAACTCAAGTCCACTCGAACTCTCTTTTGACATGCGGGCGGATGAAGTTCTGTATGACCTTTTCTGTGAGAAGCTTAACTCAAGTGATATGTTGAAAGTTGTGATACATGCAATACTGAGGAAGGACCAGGGCTTTCCATCTAGGGGACTAAGAGTGCAGATACTGAAGCTCATGGTACCGCAAGCAGTGAGGTATTGGGAAGGGAGAGGCGCAATGAAGATGAAGCGGAAGGTCAAGGCTGTTTCCTATCACCCACCTTGAGGACAAGGTGGTTGTTCATGGGGGGAGATATGATAGGATTCTAGGTTGAAGAAAATAATAATGAAGAATATTATAATAATACTACCTCCGTCCCAAAAAACTTTGCCATTTTCAAAACTTTGACCGACTATATCTTTTTATTAAAAATTATTTATAATATAAAAATTATATGAAAATGTTCTTTGTTAAAAGTACTTTCATAAAAGTATAAAATTTATAATTTCCATAATATTATACTCCCTCCGGTCCTAAATAAAGTTCACACTTTGACTTCACACAAAGTGTTTGACACTGTTTGGTACACTGTTGAGTACACTGTTGTGACACTTTTTGGCACTGTTTGACACTGTTTTGCACTGTTTTGATGTAGATAATTTGTCAAATAAAGAAGGGAGAAGAAGTTTGAAGTTTATTTTGGACCTACCCAAAAAGGAAAGTGTGAAGTTTATTTAGGACCGAGGGAGTACTAATCAAAATCAATGTTCAAATTTTTTGAAATGGCAAAGTTTTTTGGGACGGAGGTAGTATTAAATAATTGTGATAGTATATTAGAGGTCCTGGGCCAGGTACTAGTTAACTTTGGGCTGGCCCATAATTAAGGGTATAAATAGAAGGGAGGGGGAAAGAAGAAGGTAGGCAGAAATTGGAATTAGACTTGGGAGAGGGGACTGCTTGAAGTGTCTCGCCTGTATTTCTTTCCTTTCGTTATCTTCTTTCTTCTCTAATATACATGCTAGTTTTACCGTTTGGTTGAGGTTCCTATCATAAGACTAAAGATTGTTTTCCATAATTTTTCAGTGTTGTGTTGGCTCGAATGAAGGAGTACTGTTCAGTGTTTCATGGAAAAATCAGGGTCAGTTGATATATATTTCGAGATGTAGACAAGAGTTACAATTTGTATCCATAGGTCACGTGTGAAATGTCTGCTTGTGCTTTAACAATAAGTTGGGCTTTGGTGTTTCCATTTATTTTTCTTCCATCTTAAAGTGAAACTAAATTCTGTTGTCCAGGAAAAAAAGGTGAAAAAACTTTATGTTGCTCTTGCTACTGCACCTGTCCCAACCGGGATAATTACACATTACATGCGTCCCATTAATTCTGCCCCAAGAATTATTTCTGAAGGTATGGATATTATCATCCTATTTTGACTTTCAGAGACAAGTTCCTTAAAATATTCATATCACCAGATTTAATGAGAAGGGGTTCTAAAATACATTTCACATATCATCCTTAAATGGTCTTATCTGATTATCTGTTCCCATTTTTGAAAGGGAGAAATTTAAGATGAAGTTATTCAGACCATTCAAAATTTGGTCATCTATAACTCCAGCGTTTTCCACCAATATTATTTAATCACATCCTAATCATGCTGTGCAGATTTTATAAAAGGTTGGCAAATGTGCAAACTTGAGGTTCTGGAATGCAAGAAGATACCCTGGCCCAGGAGTTCAATTGAAAGGGAATACAATATTGAAAATGGTGGATGGCCCTCAAAGGAATTTGCATATGAGTGTACAATTAACCTTCTGACTGGTCGGACGCATCAGGTTTGATTTTTCAATTCTGTTTCTTTTGGCTTCTCTCCATTTTTAACATGTCTGTTTCATAAGGTGGCATGTGTTTCCTGTGTTATTTGATGATTTGAAAAAACACTTGGTGACAAAAAGGGTTTGGTTTTATTTGAAAATATTCATAACTAGGTAAACTATGTTTATCAATTGTTACTTTGCTACTTACAGATTCGAGCCCAACTAGCAGCCTGTTTTGCACCTATAGTGGGCGATTCAATGTATATGCCTGCTGCTATTGCTGAGATGAATTGTCCAGGGTGTAACCCATATGGAAAAACTGGTAAAGAATACGCAAGCGAAAATGACAAATCATTTGCTGTGGAAGAGTGGATTGCTCAACATGGAAAGGAGCCTAGTATTGCTGTTGGCCTTCAGGCATGCCAAATTTCATGGGATGATGATGGAGACCACCTTTATGAGGCTGGATCTCCCTGGTGGAGATCATAACCCCGTTAGTAATCTCTTGACCTGTCCATGTCAAAACTCTTATCACATTGAGGAACATATAATGTAATGGTTCATGAAGACTTCCACAACACTATGCCCATGTCCTAGAGAGAATGATGCTCTACCTCATCTTCTGGAGTTTAGTTAGTTAGTGGGGGTTGGGGGTTGGTTGGAGAGGGGACCGGAATTGCACCGGGGGTGTGCTGGCATTGAGTCGGATGCGGTTAGGATCGGTTCCTGGGCAATTTCCGGTTCAGTTATTTTTTTTTTGCTATTTCAGTTATTACATGATAAGCACACATATATTCAATAACGAAAGAACAGTATGTATTTGCATTTAGATATACTTTAAATAATATAAACCATCTTTGGAAATGATTTTTAATAATAACTATTTGAATATATAACAAAAGTGATACAAAGTTTTTTTCACTAAAATCAATCATTTATTTAACTCATTAAAAATATGATAAGTTATTATGAAATTGGGAGAAAGACCAAGAATGACACTAAGGTTTTTAACGAATCTCGGATTAGACACTAAAGTCTTAAGTAGACCAAATAAACCCAAAATTATAGTTTTTGGGTCCATTTTGACCACCCTTTAACGCTAACCCTTCCCCTTCCTTAACTCCCTATCTGATTAAAGTTGGGAACAATGGAGGTCGATCGCCTTGCCTAGAAGATTACCTCCGGGTCCTCGACGTCGAAGTCGTCGTTGCGTCAAAGCCTACCCCATTACCCATCGCAGGTTTCACCATTGCAGAATCGTGACATCATCGAAGCTATAGCTACCACCGTTCGATCTGGAGCATCTCGCCGGCAGCTAGGGGTGGGTGACGATGCGACTGTAGGCAGTGACAATAGGTGATGGGATGGTGTTAGGCTGGTGATGAGGGCTACGACGCTGAGAGGGGGTTGCGAGGCGGCTGTGGCTAGGGTTCGGGAGGGGGTTGGTTTGGGAGGCTGAAGATGGATGGTCGGAGCTCGGGCTAGGGAGGTGCGGATCAGGGTTTGGATGCTCAGATCTGGAGCTGGGGAGGTGGCAAGGACGTGACATGGACTGGGGCTGGGGAGGGGCAGGGTGTTGGATTGGGGTGGGGCTTGGGCTAGTGTGGAAGTCGCTTGCAGGGGGCTTTTGGAATGAGGAGTTAACGACGGGGATGACTACTTTAACGAAGGCGTTAAAGGGTGGTCAAAATGGACCAAAAAACTATACGTTTGTGTTTATTTGGTCAACTTAAAACTTTAGTGTCTAATCTAAGATTCATTAAAAACCTTAGTGTCATTTTTGGTCCATCTCCCTTATGAAATTTGGGGTACTATTTCTAGACAGAAGTTAAATCAAAAGTAGAGTAAAAAAGTTGTGCATTAAAAATGGTAGAATAATAGTACATGAATATCTAAATATAAGAAGTTTTCGTGACATAGGATTCCATGTTTTATTTTCTTTAAATAGGAATGAATATTACATTTTTACTTTTAATATAATTAATTAATAGAATTATTTGCCCCCCTAGTTACCCATAACCAAGATAGCACGTTGATGGCGACGATCTGAGGATGTTTTTACTTGGATTGTTTTCAGTCCCAGACCAGATTTAGATAGTTATAAAATACACAGATATCCGACATTTACCAGATCAGTTTAGTTCAGACTAGATTAGATAAGATCAGACCAGACCGGCAAAATTTTAGTCCAAGAAAAAACATCCGGAGCCCAGAGGGCACTCTTGTGGCAGCGGACTGGCATCGCACGGCGGCGGCGGGGGGGGGGTGGGTGGGGGTGGGGTTCGGCTACTAGCGGTAGTGGTCCGGCAGTTGTCCGACATCTTCTATTTTCCGAAATTTTCCAAATATAATAATTATAAAAACATCAGCCATCTTGTTACTTTATCTGGTTATTTTTTTATATACACATCTAAAGTAAATGTCGTAATATAACTAGGGATGGACCCAACCGGTTCGGCCTGGCCCGGAACTGGCCCAGCCCGCTACTGTGCGGGCCCGGCCTGGCCTGATTGGTGCTTACAGGGCCCGGGCTTTTACCCGGTTGGGTCGGGTTGGGCGGGTCGGGCTCGCGCCATGTTTTTATTGAACCGGCCCGGGCTTTTTTTGGGGTTTTTCAATTTTTTTTGTTTTTCTTGGTTAGGGCTGAGTGTTTTTTTTTGGGGGGGGGGGGGGTCGGGGGTTAATTAGAAAGCAAAAAAAACATAGAACCGGGCTCGACCCTGACCCGATTTATACCCGGGCCGGTTCCGATTCTTCCTTTCCCAAAAAAGCCCGCTCGGGCCCAGGCCCGGCCCGGAACTGGCCTAGCCCGGGTCCACCCCTAAATACAACGTAATTTAGTGAACTATCATACGTGCATGAGAAAGAAAATAGGTATGATAGGTCACTTTAGTTTTTATTAACCAAAATGCATGTTAGTAATAACGACTTGTTAACAGGGGAGGAGTCAAGGGGGTGGGGGTCAGGGTGGTCAGCCGACCCCGCTGAAAGTTCAAGAGTATAGAGAGCTCTGAATTATCTTCGATTTGATATATTATGACCCTCATAACTCATTATGAGTAAAAGGTTGTGACTTCTGGAAAGTCAGCACTATGATAGTGTCACTATCTAAACGTAAAATCAGCAAAATTTGATACTCCCCCCGTTCCTAAATAAACTTCCAACTTTCCTTTTTCGTCCGTTCCAATTAAAACTTTCACTTTCCCTTTTTGATAAAGAATTTGTGGTTCACAACATTTCTTACACATTTCTCTCTCCTCTGCACAACTCTCCACCACACAATATCCATTATCTTAAACTTTGTGCCAAACCCATTTGGAAGTTAAAATAGGAACAGAGGTAGTACATACTATAGATTATTTTCCTAAATTTTAAAAATAGGACATAATTTACTCAATACTTACGTGACACGACTCAGAAACAGAGAAAAGACAATCTATCTTATTGCTACGAGTGCCTATTTATCTAAACTGCATATGAAATATTCAACTCGGACATTATTTAATTGAAAGACAGTCTATCTTATTGCTACGAGTGTCTATTTAATTGAAATATTCAACTCGGACATTATGAAATATTCGACCCCCCTGAACCGTTTTTATGGCTCCGCCATTGCTTGTTAGGTTAGTAATATACTCGGTATTAAGATGTTAGTATTATATTCATGTTAGTAAAATACGTACTAACATGAAGATGCTAGTATTATACGGAGTATATATTCGTTAGGTTATATTTAGATGTTAGTATCATTTTCATGTTAGTAATATAATAATAACATGGAGGTGTTATATTATATTCGTTAGGTTATACAAGTACTAACAAATACATTGATAGTACTAAAACAAATGCATTGTTTCTCTATCAAGATTGTTGTTCTCTGGCTTTTCGGATGTAGAGACCAGAGACTACAAAAAAAATTACATTTGCAGAAATTGCGCCGCCTTCTATTCAGGGGCGTACCTAGGAAATTTATCTTGGAGGGCCTATGGATTCGGTGAAGTATCTAGAAAATTTTCTGAATGATGACTAACTTACACAATTACACTAGAACTTAGTTACATATTTCACAAATAGCAAATACATTATTAATATTGTTTGATTAAACCTAGTTTAATTTATAAATGTACAAGTATGTACAAAGAGAAGATCAATTTATATAATGTGCGTGCAAAGATGAAATTGTAAATAAAATCTGCGAAAATTACGTAAATAGAAGTTAAATCCAATGATGTTTTTATCCTTTTATTCTATTAATAATAGGATCACATGAATCCTATGTTTAGGGACGAAAACACTTTTAATCCTTATTTAGAATTTTTCATATGTTTAACTTCCATTTTAAGCAATTTCCTATAAATTTTAGGTTATATATAGGGGCAGGGTTTGAGTTGAGGGAGAGCAACTGTCCCCGACCATTGCCCCCACAATTGATACGCTCTCGCCATAGTTACAGTGAAGCATTGAAATGGTACACGCGAGACAAAAAAAATCAAGAAGAAGAGCAAGTATATTACTACGTATTACAAAAGATTAAAGTTAATGCCTTAAAATTGTGTTCGGCATTCCTCGAAATAGATAAATTCCTCAATCAATGCTTTTAATCAAAAGCTTAATTATGATAATTATCTCATTTTATTTTCATACATAATATAGAGTATTATAGTTATGTCACTTTGGATTCCTATTTTTAGGAATTGGACCTGCCTTCAAAATTTCAAAATTTTGTTTAAAAGTATAAACAATCATAGTAAACAGATTCATATAACCACGACGTCCCCCTTTTTAACTAATAATTTCTATACATTTATTTATTTATTTCATTCACTATTACCCTTAAGAAAATATTTAATTAAAATTTGAGAAAGCGAATTTTATAGTTTCTTATATTTTGGGGGGCCAAAATATTCCTGGGGTGGGGTGGGGGGGGGGGGGGGGGGGGCAATTTTATTTTTCCGGTATATATAATGAAAAAATATTTTGCTTGGGAGGTCGTGGCCTCCCTGGATCTCTACTAAGGTCCACCCCTGATTCCTTTTCACTTTAAGTATTTTTTGTCAGAAACATTTGGGAAAAGGCAAATTTTAGTAAGAAGGGTTGATTATATGAAGTTTGAGAACACTTTGAGATAATGGAATGAAGTGGCGCTCTCGATCGTGGGAATGAGAGTCGGCTTCGGCAGGGTTCTCATCCATTGGCCTAGTTTCATTAGAGATTCTTTAGTAGGGTTATGATCTAATTTGATTATTCTTATGTTATTGCTGTGTTTGTTTGATTCTATGGTGCTTCTTTTCCGGGTATTGGTGCTCCGACATATTTTGTCTCCCTCGATTTGGGGAGTTGCTTTGGTGTCCCGGTCAGTTTCGTATGTCCTAGGGTTTCAGTATGCTTTCCTTTGAGTTGCGTAAATAATTATATAGACATAAATATTATTCGTACTGTTACTCCACCCGCTTCTACGTATATCTGGAACGAAGTAGCAAGAAACAATTTTGTTTTCACTTATATTGCAGCAGCTCGTCCTCCTCCGAAACCACCTTCGTGCCAGGAAGAAATTTGTGGAAAGACTTTATTTCGGTATCATGTTTTATTTAATACTCCCTCCGTCCCAATTTTTTTATGAAAAGTCAACATTTTTTGGTCAATCAATAATAAAAGTCAATCCTCGTTATTGATAATTAACTCAATTTTTAATAATTAAAATTTACATATTGAGAAACTACATTAAAATCTCTTCAAAGCAGCAAACTCCAAATTAGAATGTAATTAAAATTTGACATCCTAATTGAGCAAATAAAATAAATCTGTTTGACCAAGAAAAATCAAATTTGCAAATCAATTTGGGATGGAGGTAGTAG